AAAAGAAAAGAAAAAAAAGAAAGAAAAAAAAATATTTGCGGAGTAAAGGAATATTATTTAATCCCCATAATATCCCTGGAACTTAGGAGTATAGAAGACAAGATTAGCATGGTGAAATACAACAAACTACATAAGTGCAATAAAAAAAGGTTAAAATCAAGAATGTGGAAAAGACAGGCTAGGTACAATTTAGAACAGTGAAATCCTTTAAATTTGTTATGCATGAAATTGTATGACTATTTTGCTTAGATTTTTCTGGTGAGAGGGTTCAGGGCTTTCAATAAGAATGTCAGTATCAGTCAGGCACTGCACTGTTGGTGGGAATGCAAGCTTTCCAAAAGGAAAGAAGTCTGAGAACACTCAGGGATCTAAAAGTAGACTTGGCATTTGTTCCTGCAATTCCTCTACTAGGTGTATATCCAAAAGACCAAAATCACTTTGCAACAAAGATATTTGCACCAGATTGTTCATTGCAGCTCAATTTATAATTGCTGAGTCATGGAAGAAGCCCAAGTGCCCACTGACCCATGAATGGATTAATAAATTGTGGTATATGTATACCATGAAATACTATGCAGCCTTAAAAATAGATGGAGACCTTACATCTTTTATGTTTACATGGGTGGGGCTGGAACATATTCTTCTCAGTAAAGTATCTCAAGAATGGAAGAAAGAGTATCCAATGTACTGAGTACTTTTATGAAACTAATTTATAATTACTCACACTTTCTTATGAAAGATAGATCACAACGATAGCCCCGGATGAAGGAGAGAAGTGGAGAGGTGAGGGGAAGTTTGAGAGAGGGAGGGTAAACAGGGGGACCACACCTATGGAGCATATTGAAAGGGTACAAGTCAAATCTATCAAGAATAGCACATAAATGTCTTAACACAATAATTAAGTAAATGAGATGAAAGCTATGTTGATTAGCTTGATGTAAGCACTCCAAATTATATAAAAAATCAAAACACTGTACCCCACAAATGCATAAATGTATTCATGATCTATGTGTATATGACTTAGTAAAAGTAAAAAAAAAAAAATATCAGTCAGGCAAGGTGGTTCACGCCTATAATCCTAGCACTCTGGGAGGCCAAGGTGGGAGGATCACTTGAGCTCAGGAGTTTGAGAGCAACCTGAGCAAAAGTGAGACCCCATCTTTACTAAAAAAAAAAAAAAAAAAAAATTAGCTGGGCATTGTGGTGGGCGCCTGTATTTGCAGCTACAAAGGCTGAGGCAGGAAGATTGCCTGAAACCAGAGTTTGAGGTTGATGCTCTGGCCAAGTAGCATCAGAGAGAGATGCTCTCTAAAACAAACAAACAAACAAACAAAACAAAACAGAGAATGTGAATGTGAGATCCTGAGGAATTGATGTATTGGGGCTATTTATTAATTTATATTGAAAAAGGTTTAGTAGGAATGTGATATATATATTCACTCTTACAATCACCTGAAAAGATTCAAATGAAAATGAGTACAAAACCATTTTGATAACTTGTGTACCTAGGTTATAGTTTTGTGTCCATTTACATGCTACTGGAATATCTTTTGAAGTCTTATTTGCTTGATTACACAATAAACACCTCAAAGATTCCGACTAACGTTGCTGTTTTGTTCTTTTTCTATCTTACTCCTCTCCCCTAAGCTCTCTTTAGATACATTCTCTCCATTCTTGTTCCTAAGATTGCCTAGCAAAGTTAGGAATACACCAAAGGCACTAAATACTGTTTGGTTTAGATTTTAGTTCCTCAATAATTGTTAAAAGACACCTTCACATTAAATATACTCGTATACTAACCCTTCAAACTGAAGAGTAAACAAAGCGTACTCTTCCAGAGAAATTACACATTCTAACAGGAGAACTGGACAGGCTTACACCACACCAATTCCGTATAAATACTACTCGTAAGAGTTTCCAACCTGAAAGTCACTAGAAACAAAAACTGAAACACTGGCTTTCTGACCCCTAACTGAAACTCGAATTACTTGATGCTGAATTTTTAAAACATTATTACTTTTCTGTAATTACCAAACCAAACTTAAGAATATGTATTTGTCATTTTTACTCCGCCGCTCCACCCCCTTTAAACTGGGCAGAAAACTGAAAACCACTAAAGGCAAACCACCACAAAAAACAAAACAAACCCTCAGAACAGCATCTAAGGAGAAGCAGGAACTACAGAGGGAGAAGAAAATAGAAAAAGAAATCTGTGTGGAGCAATTAAACTTAAATCCAGTCCTTGAACTGCTAAAGACCCTGAGTCCTTTTGAGTATTTTTTTTTCTTCCGAGGGGAAAGAGGTTAAGAAGCGGTGAGAAAGGACAATAAAACCCAGAAGACCAATTTTTAAAAATTCCAGGCCAGTGAAAAACTATCCAGCAGCACCCAGGCGCTGTAGCGTAAGGCGCTATGCAGAGATCTTTTTCGGGGGCAGGTATTCTGCCAGGAGCGGGTGAAAACGCGAGGCTGGACGGAGAGAAGTGAGTAACGGGAAGGGGAGGGGACTGAAAGGCGAGCCGGCGAGTCGGCCGCGCGGGCAGCGGGCAGCCGGGAGGCC